CCATGAAACAGCCTGTGAGCGGCAGCACACGCACATATTATGAACATCTCGAGATGCGAATATGATCCTGTGAAAGTTGTTTACAATATTGATCATCAAAAGAGTTTGTAATTTAGTCAAATGTTTACAAATACAAGCGCAGCCGTTTAAAGCTCATTTGTGGTGAATGATGTCAGAATTTACCGGTATTTTGGAATGGATGTGTGAATGCTCTTTTCCGGAAAATTTCCGTAACGTCCTCGCCTGTGTGAACAGCGCTTTTTTGAACATACCGGTAAAGTCGTTCCGTAAATTTTCCGGATATTTTCCGGTATCACTGTGTGAAAGGGGCTATTGACACACTAGGGATCCTTCTCTCACTACACACTGGGACACTGATAGAGACATAAAAACATCCTGTATAACCTCACTACTGGTTTTTATGAACCGAATCAAATTTTCCATACATTTATTTCGTAATGTTACTTAAAGTACATTATGACAAAGGTTAGCTATTGTTCTGTTCATGTCTTGCTAAGTGTATGCTGGAATAAAAAATAAAATATGGTTTGATATCTGAAACATAGGGGAATTACCAACCTACGCTACACGACGTCACACGGGTTCAACCGAGCATACAGGTTGCAAAAAAGAACCGGTTGCAAGAGCAAACATGTCGTGTTGTGCGGTAGGATGCCGAATTTGAAAGTCCAAAGATAAAAAACGTAAATTTTACCGCACACCACAATGCCAACCACAGATGTTGTTGGCTAACAGCCATCATAAGAGCTGAATGGAGTAAGGACCTAATTAAAAATGCTTGACTCTGCAGTTCTCATTTTATATCAGATAAGTGAGATTAAAATCAGACAAGACCATCAATACCCTTAACCAAACTATTACACACAGCAAATTAGTGAGCTAAAAGTCTTAGTTAATGCTTTGTTAATAGACAATAAACTTTAATTGTTTCTTAAAGGGCACCTATAATGAAAGTCATCTTTTGGAAGCTGTCTGGACAGAACTGTGTGTAGCTATAGTGTGTCCACAGTCATATTGGGGTGATATAAATTTGAATTTCTTCACATTAAAATAGGATCCAAATCCCTCGCATTTTGAGGTCCACCACAATGTGACATAGGAGTGCGGTTTCCTAACACAATTTCACCGCAACTTTTTGATTTAGTGGCTAATTCATATGAATTCATACGATCTACTTCGTACAATTTAGTACGATTTGCTCATCACTCAATGACAGTTAGGGGTAGAGTTGGGTGCCACACCTCCTTTTTAAAATCGTACATTTTCGTACAACTAAACTTGTTTAAATTAGTATGAATTAGCCACTAAACTGACAAAACGTAAAATACTTATGTTTTCTTTGTGAGGTCAGGCTGGGTTTCCCCACCCACCAAACTGATTGACAACCGCGTATTAACATGTCTCCGTAGTAACGTGTATAATCATATCTGCAAGAAAAGATGTGTGCAAAGCAACCAGGATTAAAAGATCTGTTCAGCTCTCTGTAATCATCAATCATCATCAAATGTGATCAAGAGTGAATTTTACAAATTTAAAACGTTTTTTAAAACAGTGCATGTTTGTAATGAATTACAGCGATTTTACCGTGTTTACTTCATCACCACAGCAGCATGTCAGTACAATTATAAAAGAAGACGCTTCAATTCCGATTTGTGGACGTTAAATCAGGTTTATTTTGTACATTAACATAACGGATATCCATACAGCAGTGTATTTTAACCTGTATCCTGTCACTTATTCCATGCCAAAACACTGTAAGATTAAACACGCGCAAACTGTGTGTGTGTGTGTGTGTGTGAGTGTGTGTGAACTCTGTAACAGCATTGTGTGTGACTTATCGAAACTTTTTATTTAACGCCACAACAAATACATCAAATAATCATTGGGAACGTTTTTACTTTAGTATTTTTCACATATGTTAAGTGAGATCTGCTTCCTTCATGTCTGTCACTGTGTGTTTATCTGACGTAGCTGATGCGGAGATTGAGGCACACTCTGACAGGCACATGGGAATGGTAGGCAGGGACACAGAATAAAGGCACAGGCAATAAAAACAGCTACAGCGTGTTCAGGGCAACAAATTCTAATACTCTAAAAGGTGTAATAAATAATCTAATGGGTGTTTTGAGCTGAAACATTACAGACACATTCTGGAGACACAAAAGACGTATCTTAAATCTAGAAAAAGGGGTAAAATAGGTGCCTTTTATAATAAAACAAGGCTGACTTTTATTCGTAATAAAAAATGGTTTGTGATTAAGTTTCCGTGGTTTTTGCATTCGTATTTTGTAGGAGTTTTGACAGTTCAAACAACTCAGAATGGCTTCTGACTTCTAGTCAGCACAAAGTGTGAAATACACAGATATGGAATATAAGGACAGATTGTAGCAGATGATTGTGGAGGAGCTTGTCTTTAAACGAAGTTATGTGAAAATCTTGGAATAATCCCGCAGATCTTTAAAAAGGAGTTTGAACTCCATGGACCCAATATTTTCTTTTATTCATTTTTTTTAAAGAGGACAACAAAATTATCCTCACTGTTATTTTTTGCAGCAGATTAATAAATGTCGAAGGATGCATGACAAATCTTTAGGTTAAAGTAAATGAAAAAGGTCTTTTTACGTTAAGAAGACTGGTCTGAATTAGTGCAGAATTAATACAGAACCACATACAATATAAATCTGGTCACATGCTTTCTGATGTTTTTTTCCAGATGCGGATCTGGAAAATGTATTTATTCATTCTCAAGACCTCAAAGACACCAACTGTGTATTACCCAAAAATTGCCACAGTAAGTGCACCTCAAACAGATGCAGGTTTGGTTAATATACAATGCATAGATGTAGATTATAATAAACATGTCTAAATGATCTCGCCCAATAAACATATACATAATTAGTATTTTTAGATTACTTTTATTAGATTAATGTTAGTTACATAAAGGTTTAAAATAGCTCTTACACCCAGTGTTGTGTTCGTATTTATGATCATGTTTATTTATGTAGCACTGCGGTCCTGCAAGATATGACATTTCCTGCCGCTGTATGTCCACACACTGTAAAAAAAACATTTTAAATTTAGTAGTTTTCTTTATTTGGTAATTTGTGTTTTCCACTTATTAATGCTTTTGATTTACATTATGGGATCTTGATCCTTCTTCCAAAAGTTTTTGATATTAAAAAGTGACTCTTATTGACATTTTTAAAAGTTTGAAGTGACATATTGTCTGTGTTTGTGTTGCATATTACAGTACAAAACCTGGTAACAGTCTGCCAGCTATAAAAAAGTCAATAAAAGTCATTTTGTTAATCTGCAGTGTTAAATTTTCAACATCAAAAATAGCAGAGTAGAGATAAAAGTGTCATGATGCAATTCACAACTGTAAATAAACAGAAAACACCATGTGATCCTGATAATATATATATATATATATATATATATATATATATATATATATATATATATATATATATATATATATATATTGTGTGTGTAAACACTATATAGTGCCCAGCATGAAGGAGTACTTCCCTTTTGAAAAATATTTTCATCCATTTTTCAGTAAATAAAGCCAATAGTTTTTGCTTTTTAAACAAAGCAGTTTTATGAAACTGCTATATCCATTAAAACAAGTTTTTCACCTAACATCTTTAGCAATAGAAACATAATACATTTAAATTCAAAGTGTTGTTATTGCACAATACAAATAAAAACTGCAAAATTACAACAAATATTTATATTTTTTATGTTTCTCTTGATTTTATTAGTTTATTAATTTCATATTTTTCCAAACATAATACTGGATTAGGTGTAAAAATTTAGGACTGTGAAGTTTTTTGTTAGATTAATTCCAGTTTTACTCTGGTACTATATGATGCACATAGTTGAGAAGATGGCTTCACATTAATACCCAGACAGACCCAATGTGGACTGAGGAGGACGCCTCCCAGCTAGCAAAATTTATGTGGCTTAAATCAGACCCACACCAGACACTTCCATCCAGCCCACATACCACATGGAATGATGGCACTTGGGCGGTCCACTCCTGTTTGCCTGATCTGGGCCACAATTAAGCCATACCAATATTACATATCAGCCAGAATTCAACCAAATGAACCAGAACTGACCCGACTCTGGGCCACAATTTTTGCTTTTATTCTGGCCCAGATACGGCCCACACCAGACACTTACATCTGGACCACAAACTGAATGGAATGATGGCTCTAGAGGGGTTTGCTCCTGTTTGTCAGATCTGGGCCACAAATAATCCAAAGCAATACCACATATTAGCCAGAATTCAACCAAATAAACCTGAACTGACCCTATTTTGGGCCACAATTTGCTTTTATTATGGCCCAAATCTGGCCTATCAATAATGGATTAAACATTGGAAAACATCAGGGAATTATAATATTCAGTGAGATGAAGTTGTTTGAATGAATGAACAAACTTTTCAAGTCTATGTGGTCGACATATGTCTTAAGATACCTGAGCCACACTTGCATCTACACGTGTGAGCCACTTTTGGTTTTGACCCAGATTACCCTTAAATGACTATGCTACTATTTTGCCAACTGTGGCCCACATTTGTCCTCCATCATTTGGGCCAAATTTATAATTTTCCACATGGGCCACATTAGGCTCACATTCAGATTACTTTTTGCCATAAGGGCCAAATCTTTGCTTTAAATGGCTCATTTATGAATTTGAATCTTTTGCTCCCCTTTGCCATTGCACAGGTGGGCCGCTTCAGGCTTACATTCATTTTGTCTGGGCCGCAGAGAAACCACCAGTGCCGCATAACTGCCTAAAGTGGCCCACATTCGTATGCTATCTGGGCTGTGAATCTGCATAATGAAATGTTAGAAACACCCTGGTTGTGTAAACTCTTTTAATAGAGCTGTACTTGTGTGTGTTCATCCACAGATCAAGTCATAACCAGTTTTTTGATTAAAACACAAGCTCCAAAAGATGAATGGATGAATGGACCCCATATTGACCAATCTCCCAACTGTACAGTGAGCAATTCATCTGTTCTTCAACAACAGCACAATATTTCATTATCCATCTCATGTAAGGCTGTTGAGTTCTTAAAAGGCCCGCTGGTCACCCGCTTCATGCCGTCCTTCTACATCATCATCATCCTCATCAGTTTGCCTCTGAACACTTTGGCTTTGGTGACGTTCACCTGCAGGATCAGAGAAAAGAAACCAGCTGTGATCTACATGTCTCACCTGGCGTGTGTGGATCTGCTCTTCGCCCTGCTGCTGCCTCTGAAGATCCACTACCAGCTGAACGCTTCTGATTGGCTGTTTGGTGAGGCGGCGTGTCGTGTGCTCACTGCAGCTTATTACTGCTACATGTACTGCTCCATACTGCTGATGATGTGCATGAGTGTGGACAGACTGCTGGGTGTTGCACTTCCCGTTGCTTCGTTAACCTGGAGGAGCACAAGGAAAGCCTCATGCGTGTGTGTGCTGGTCTGGCTGCTGGCGCTCGCTGGTACTGTGCCACTGCTCTCAATGAGACAAACCTTTCCCGTTAAAAATGTGGGCATGACCTGTCATGACGCACTGCAGCAAGGCTCAACAGAACATTTTTACCTGTACCTCTTCTTCATCCTCTCCTGCCTGTATTTCTTTGTGCCGCTGGTCATCACTTTAGTGAGCTACTCCACCATCATATATGTGCTCAGTGTAAAGTCCGACCGCATTTCTTCATCTTCATCCAACAGAAACAAAGCTGTGATCATGACTGTTTCTGTGCTGATTGAGTTTTTGGTGTGTTTTGGTCCAACCAACGGCATCTTGTTGTATCACTGTATTCGTTTAGCTACTGGAAAAGACAGTGAAGGAGATTCATCATATGCTTCATACATGTTGGCTGTGTGTTTGGGGAGCGCAAGTGTTTTTCTGGACCCTCTTCTGTACTATTATGGTTCATCTCATTACAGACAGATAATCAAGTCTGTGCTGAGAAAAGCAAAAGAAAAAACACCTCCATGTAACACACCTGATACTAAAGCTAGGTCAGCAGTAAAGTGTGAAGTTTAAAGTGCCCCTATTATACTTTTTTGTAATTTTATTAAATTAATCAATTTGTAGTGTGAGACAGCCTGACACATCCAGAGAAAATTAATTTGTTTTCTAAAACAAAAAGTCAATCCCTTTGTTGTTTTAGATGAGAAATAATCACAAGCACAGAATTCAATTATCAAACACACACATACACACACTCCTGCATTTTCAGTGTTGACTAATCCAAATGCCTCTGAATGGCCAGTGCCTTACAATGTCCATACTGGCCATAATGCTTAAAATGTGTGTTAATGGATATTATTTTACAGATTTACCAATAAGCAACATCCGGCTCAAGTTATGGTTATAATGGAGGTTTTGGTCAAATAGTTTTTCCAGTGTTTGGACTTTATATGGTAATTGGTAAAATCTGCCATCTCAACTCAAAATTGTCCTACAATATGTGCAATGAGGAATTCCCCAGACCTCAAATTCAGATATGGTAATGAGCATTTCATTTGTGATGTGCTGTAGAAAATCATAAAAAACTTGTCCATCATTTTAAATGTGCAGTATACAGTAGTGTTGCAGTCCAAATTCAAAATATTGGATATGGGATTTTTTCACCTGGTCACTCTTCCTCCAACTTAAAGCACACACAGGTTGCCAGATTAATGACACAAACAGTAGCAAGCATGTCTGATGATCAAATCTTATGCTGTAAAATGTTCCGCTAATGTTTATGTTTGTAATATTTGTACATGAATTTTTATAACTGCATCTCATTTCAGAGCTTGTTACTTTCCACACACATTGAGGCAGGTTGTATTACTATGATAAAATAGGATGCTTTCCACCATGGCAACCCTGAAATATAACTAAACTGGCAGTGGGTAGAGTAACACAGACCAAAACAAAGACATTACAACACAGAAGGTAGAATACCACTGACACTTACAGGAATAGTTAATGGCGCTGCAGGAAATCTATGGGATGGAAAAAATAACAGTTAAGTCTCAGAATGACTGTTTGATGAGCAATGAAAGCTTTTATAAAAGAACTAGGTGAGATACGAGGAAGAAGAACTTGATTAATGCCTCACCTTTATTCCTCTCCTTCCCTCTTTCTAAAGAGTTTGACTAATAAAGTGTCAAATTAATTCATTCATGTTCTTTTCAACTCTGTCGAATCAGCGAACTGAACCGCCAATTTATCCAGCACATGTTTTATGAAGCGGATGACCTTTTAGCCGCAACCCATCACTGGGAAACACAGACACACTCTCATTCACACACATACACTACAGGAAATTTAGCTTGCCCAATTCAACTGTACCACGTCTTTGGATTTGTGGGGGAAACCAGAGCACCTGTAGAAAACCAACGCAAACGCAGAGAGAACATGCAAACTCCACACAGAAACGCCAACTGAGCCAGCCGAGGATTGAACCAGCGACCTTCTTGCTGTGAGGCAACAGCACTACCTACTACACCACTGTGTCGCCAGATTGTCAAATTATTACTATTATTATTTTATCCCATCCAAAGCTTCTGTTCTGAGTTCAGTTTTTCCTCCTACATCTTAATTATTCTTATTGCACCCCCAACAAAAAAAGTCACTGGCTGTATTAATAAAATCCTGGTCTTATTGGTTGCTTTACTCAGACATAAAGGTAAACACTTTACTATTAAGGTACAACATCGGGAATAAAAGTCAATTACTTAACCAAATTTATCCGGGGGAAAAACTCATTACGGCGAGGCAGTGGCGTAGTAGGTAGTGCTGTCGCCTCACAGCAAGAAGGTCGCTGGTTCGAACCTTGGCTCAGTTGGCGTTTCTGTGTGGAGTTTGCCTTTGCGTGGGTTTCCTCCAGGTGCTCCGGTTTCCCCCACAGTACAAAGACATGCAGTACAGGTGAATTGGGTAGGCTAAATTGTCCATAGTGTATGAGTGTGTGTGTGTGGATGTTTCCCAGAGATGGGTTGTGACTGAAAGGGCATCCGCTGTGTAAAAACTTGCTGGATAAGTTGGCGGTTCATTCCGCTGTGGCGACCCCGGATTAATAAAAGGGACTAAGCCGACAAGAAAATGAATGAATGAATGAAAAACTTACTATGCCCAAAATGGTCACAGTGTACAATAAGGTTTCATTAGTTAATGTTAGTTAATATATTTATTAACACAAACTAATAATGAACAACGGTTGTGCATCATTTATTAATCATAGTCATTTACCAATGCAATATTGAAATACAAATTCATGCTTGATACCATTACTGTGAGTTAACATGAACAGATACTAGATCCAAAAGACCCTATTATACATCTAGCGCATTAAGGTGCAAGACGTGTTTCCACATTTTTAGTTTATTCAGGACAAATTGCATTTACATAATGTTATTATTATTAGCAGTATTATTTAATATATGCATATTTATATTTGTTTTATTAAAAACAAGCTTAGACTTGCCCACCTGTCAGGTTTTAGGCCATATGGGGCATGGGATGTGTGTTTGGATATAACTCAGTTTTTTGAGCACACTTCATTATTATTGTTCATTTATTCATTTGCTGGAAATTAGAACTGAATTCAGGAATAGTTTTGAAACTAATCTTTGAGCTTGACAAACAAAATTAAATATGTAAGCTAATGGATGTCTTCAGTGGTTTGCGTCCAACACAGTTTCCTTATCCACGAAAGAGAGAAAGTGAACGTGAAAGTAAAGTAGGAGGCTCATTCTCTATTCTCGCGCTGCAGATGGTCTGTTTAACTGTTTTCTTGCTAGTGAAGCGTTCAGTTTTTACACTTACAAAGTCCGCCATGTAAATAGGAAATGCGCTATGGCGCGACGCAACTGGCTCTTAGAGGGAATGGAAGATTAGACCCTGATTGGTTTATTCTCAAAACACACCCATATATCATTTGGAGAATAAGCTCAATCCTGTTAGACCATGCGCCACAGCGCTGAGCAGATTTTTCCATCCTTAAAATAGCAAAAGTGTATTCGGACACACTATTAATGCTTTTGCGTCCTGTGCTTTAGACTTAAAAAAAGAGCCCAAAATCTCGGACACACAGTTAGAGGGAGATTTTAGACAAGAACATTATCCTCTTTTGGAGACCCTTTCCCCTGCAGGTTCAAGCATAAAAGTATTTTAACAATGTTACCTCATAAAATGAGAAGGAAAAAAAAAACATACAACAATTGTTTGACACTCCTTGTTCATCAGTTGATGTGATGTCACAGATCTGACGTGTCATGATCATTACAAGATCCCAATAAATGATTCTGCTTACAGTTCAGGTGTTGCCATTCCAGTGACTCCACTGACTGCTTGTTTCTGCATGTTGATTTTGGAGTAAAACGTTCAGAGTTAGTAGACAACTCATGGATTATCATAAAACACTCTTATTTTCAGTTTTAATTGTACACGCATATACTGCCAGCTCTAAAGGTAAGTACTGCTCATCATTTTATTATGCATATTAAATATTTTAACCAATTTGAAGTCCTGCTGATGTATTTTTTATCTTTCTTGTTGAATGTCTGTTAACTGTTAAAAAACAAATAATAATTTAAGAGAAAGCGTTTCTCAGCCTGGAATTGACGCATATATATTATATTCAAATTACATTTGCAGTCAAGACTGAAATTATTCATACCCCAGGCAAATTCTGACTTAGTTACTTTTATAAATTTTTTATTTATTTATTTATTTATTTGACTGGAAATGACACAGGCTTCACCCAAAAGATCATAAGAAACTTTACACGAGGCATTATTGTGGAAAAAATATTTAGGTAACACTTTATTTTGATCGTCCGTTTGAGTATTAGTTGACTGTCTGCTTAATATCTGTTGATACTGCTCCTTCAAAAGACATTTAACTGATTATAAGAAACTTTTCAAGTACGTCAACTTACACTAACCCTAACCCCAACCTAACAGTCTACTTATAATCTAATGAGAATTAGTTGACATGTATATGCAGTGTAACTTAAATTCAACAAACGAACCATCAAAATAAAGTGTGACTATTTATTTATAAAGAACTTAAAGTCAGAATTTGCCAGAGCTATGAATAATTTTGAGGCTTGACTGTATGTCATAAAAGTTTATATTTGGATTTCACACATATAAAATATGCAATATATGCTAAATATTTTGAAATATTGCAAAAATATATATCAGTTTACATATTTTTTCAAACATTGGAATTACAAATGCGTGTGTATTCATGTATGCCCCCCTTTGATTTTTTTTCAATATTTCCCAAATGATTTTTAACAGAGCAAAGACATTTTCACTGTATGTCTGTATGTTTTAATTTTTTTTAAAACCCATTTTAAGGACAGAATTATTAGCCCCTTGAAGCTATATTTATTTTTGATAGTCTACAGAACAACCCATTAATATACAATGACTGAAGAAATTAATTATGAAACCTTTAATGTTTAGAAATGTTTCGAAAAAATCTTCTCTCTGTTAAACAGAAATCGGGGAAAAAATAAACAGGGAGGCCAATAATTTTGACTTCAACTGTATGTATATATTGTTTGTGTTTGTATATGTTTAAATATGGACATGAATGTAAAATTTAGTTGACAAAAATGACATACATGTTTATGTATTTATTCAATTAATTTCTTTATGTTTATGATAAATAAACAACTGCATAGAGGAGCATAACTCTACATCCCTGTTCTGTCATGGGGTTCATTTCTTGTGGAAAGTAATTATTCCGTATTAATGGCAGAGTTTGGGCTTGCATTTTAATTACTGATTCAAAGGAAAAGTATTTTTCTAAACTGAACTGTATTAAGCAGTTTTCAATGACAGATTGGAAGACAATTTCAGGCTAAAAAATCCACACCCACCCAGGCCATCCTTTAACGAACAATCACTGGCAGAGGGCCAGTATAAGGAGTGTGACTCTTCACTGTGTGTCTGTCAACCATTTCCTGCTGTATTCTGTCTGAAGATGCCAGGCATGTCTGAGCAGGCATTCATCCGGCACTGGCATACATCATGGTCTGGGTTTGGCAGAGGTGGCACCTCTGGATACACAAGACATGGGCCAGATGTCAAATGTAGTCTTTGGCCCAGATATTAAAAACTGATATGTAGGCCATGTAAGTTTGGTCTATCTGGACCAACATTTTAAATACATTTCAATTATTTTTTGAGTCAAGAAATATTTTAATACGCAAAGTCATTTCCATCTTCCCGTTTGCATCTTCTAATGCCTTCATTTAATCCAGGAAACAATGACGATTTTATTGTTTGAATTATGATTATCTATTGTTTTCCGTATGTTGCAAAATAATTGAATTTAACCTACATTACCAAATTATTATTTTACAATTTATAATATTATTAACTAAATGTCAAATGCAGTATTTTAATAAGATTTTGTTTTTATTCTGATTGTCTCATTTTTATGCACATTTAATTGTTCTGCTTTAAAATTAAAAAAAAAATTCCAATCAGGTTGCTTTGAGAGAAAAAAAATGCAACAGACTTCATGGGTTTATTGATTTCATTGCAGTCATGACACACCAAGTGTGGCCTCCAGACAATGGCCAATCATGGGCTATATCTGGTCCAGTTCAGGCCCAGTTATGGGTTATTTACTTAGCTGAGATTTGGTGCAGATGTGGTCATTGTTTGGCCCTTGTCTGAAAGCCAGACTTGGTCCAGTCATGTACTGTAATTCACTGCAGCATGTGGGCCAAGCAAAAGTCGATTGTTTGGGCCAGAGCTGGGCCAGAAATATTTTGCTACATGGGTAGTCAGTATTCTGGCATTATAACTCACAATTTAAAAAAAACAAATTCGCAATTATAAAGTCAGAATTGATGATTGATAATAATTAAAAACCTTTAAATACGGTCTTCAATCCTCTGTGTCAATTTGTTTTAAGATGTCCCCATAGAACCAATCATTGCATATTATTTCAAACTCTTGGTTTGCTTCAACCGCAGACAGTTTCATTGCTATTTGTTTCTTTTTAAATGTGTTTATTTTAGTTTACCCTCTTATTTAAAGCAGTTTTTTTGTTCCGTTTACCTCATCATATTCACTTCGTCATGTGCAACAGAATTATTTTTTTGTTTCCAGAATTGCTACAGAATATGGCCGCATGGGTCTTTTCGATACAAAGCTCCATCCGACTGGAACAATCTTCCTTCCTTTTTCAGATCAATTAAATCACTCAGGGCTAATTTATTTTCTTTTTCAGAAACAACTTCCGAATGATATTAATATTGGCTCCAAATTAAATGTTTATTATTTATTTTTATATCAAATTGTTTGTACTTTTAATTAAATGTTTTAGATTTCTTTAGGCTTCAGATTGTGGGAAGTGTTTTAGGTGGAGTGTGCTGCTTGTTTGTTGTGTTAGTTGTATGTACGTTATGATGTGCTGTACTCTGTTTGATTTATGAACTTTTTGTAACCCTTCAAAAATGAGATGATTCATCTCAAGGGGCTATCCCTTTCAGTAAATAAATTCAAATTGTGAGTTAAAAAGTCACAATTCCAAGATGTAAAGTTACTTTATATCTCACAAGAAAACCATTACATGTGTTTACTAGCTGTTTTGTTCCAGCAACTGATTTAAGTCTCATTTATCTTCTAGATGAGGGTCCTCTAAAGCAATCATTTCGTGATTCTCTACACAATGAAGTGACCAAATGTTCCATACCGCCAAAATGCCAATGTAAGTGTACCTCAAACTGATGCCTTTATAGGCAACATAAATGTAGTTTCTTGCAATAAAATTGTAACACAACAATCCTAATATGAATAATCATCTCAATCATCTTTATATGTGCACAAAATAAGATTGTAAAGATATAAAAGCATCCTTGTATAACATCACTACTGGTGTTTTATGTAGAGAAACAAATTTTCCAGATATTATTCCAAATCCCCTCCCCCCCAAAAAAAGAAACCCTCAATAATTGTTATAGTATGAACAAACAGCTAATGTCATTTTTCTTTAAGCCATTACACCTAAAAAGTGACTAGTTCGATTAAGAAATTGAGAGTGCAAACACCTTAAGAATTGAGAGTGCAAACACCTTAAGAAGGTCTAAATTAATGCAAAATTAGTACAGAACCACACATATAATTCCTTCTGATGGTTTTCTTCCAGATATGGAAAATATGTTTCGTCATTCTCCAGACCTCAAATGGACAAAATGTGTATTACCCGAAGAATGCCAAGGTAAGTGCACCTCAAACAGATGCAATGTTGGGAAATATACAATGCCGAGATGTAGATTATTATAAACACGTGTAATAATTGGGGTTGAGACATCTGGGAAATGCTTTTGCACATTTGCACCAGACACTTTCTAACAATCACTCCATATCTCATGAAAAAAAAAACTTTGTGCATTTCTGAAGCATGCTTCACATAGATGAGTGGGTTTGACAAACCACCTGTAGAAACACTCTTCTCGTTTGACTTAAACTCCATCTTACAAGCTCAATAAGAAAAACAATGTTTACCTGAATGCACCACAAATCATGTTTTCTTCAACCTATACCTATTTTGCACAATATCATGCACAATATTGTTATGTCTTATGTAGGAGAGGGACAATAACCGTTTTCAAGGTATACTGCGGTTTAGAAAAGTCAAGGTTTTAAAACCATCAAAATTTTCTGTAATACCGTTTTTAAGGTATGAGAAAGATTTTTTATTTAATTTTTTTTTTAGAACAACAGTATCTCCAGCAGAAAAGATATCCAAGGATGTCGTTTAAAATTGAAAAAGTCAATGATATTTGTTTGATCTATTTAGCCTGACATGTTTACTGCTCCTAAATATTTAAAATGTTTCAAAAAATAAATATGTTGTGTGCAAAGATGAAAAAGTTTTTGTTTGAAAAATTTTATTTATTGTTTAAAAAGATGATTTTTAGAGCAGTAATCACAGTACCGTGAAACCATGATATTTTTGTCCAAGATTATCAGACTGTCAGAATCTTACAACGGCCCATGCCTTGTCTTATGTAAAAGTACTTGTGTGTTTTAGGTCTATAAATATGTCTTAAGTTATGTCTATACTTAAAGGTGCAGTAAGTGATCTGCCTAAATGCTAACCGGTTAGCATATTATCTTTCAAATGCAATCCTTTCTGTCTTCCAAAGCCACGCCTCCTGAAATCGTGAACACGCAAATCAAAGATGACGGACACCCACCAGATCATGTCAGTTGGAAAACTTTACAGTATTTTATAATACTACAGTTCTAAACGAAAAACTGTATTATATCTAGCACATTTTTAGATGTATAGTTAGCAAGCAATACTTGTCATCACTCTTTCATTAGTCTCACTCATCAGTCTCACAGGTTTAGTCCTAAAGAGACTACTGTATGCTTAGTTATTGGCTGGCCGGATTGAATTACACTTATTACTAAGCCATACTTACATGCTATTTCAGATTGAATATTCAGAGTTCACAGTATTCACAGGTTGTCATTGTTAAAAGTCATTAAAAAATGAACCAATGTGAATATAAAAGTAATTTCAGCTCAGTAAAGCAGGCTAGGTGGAATAGCATTATTTACTTCTGTTTTGTTAAACTAAATCAAAATCTACATTATAGCCTGATCTCACGAGAAAACGTAAGTATTTTACGTTTTGCCAGTTTAGTGGCTAATTCGTACGAATTTGTACGAGTTCAGTTTTACGAAGTTGTAAGATTTTAAAAAGGAGGCGTGGCACCTAACCCCACCCCTAAACCCAACCGTCATTGGAGGATGAGCAAATCGTACTAAATGGTACGAGTTAGATCGTACGAATTCATACGAATTAGCCACTGAATGAAAAAGTTACGAATGGCCATGAGATTGTGTTGACATTATCGATGATGTAAAAGGTCTCTTATGAAACTGAAAATAGTCACATCAATCTTTCATCAGAAGATTTCAGTGGCTGAACAAAACTTCTGTGCATATAACCCATTCATAAAACAACACAATCTACATAAGCTTTGCATGACTAAAAGAGTCTTAAAACAGAACATGACCTGTCTAAGAGAAATCCTTCAGCTATGGTATCGTCCTTCCTCCAGCATGCCAAAGTAACTTCAATATTGATTCAGGAGTTTAAAAAGATTTGATTCAGCATTTGTTTAGAGTACTGACACTCAAGTCCCCGTGATCGCGCCCCGCATGAACATGCATCAGCAGGTCTGTGTGAACAGATGCGCAGTTGTTCAAATCTACATTTGTTGACAGACAGTTTGGGCTACTTATCAATATGGGAATTATCAGCCAGACAAATTTAAACTGGATGAACATTTTTAGTGTTATGCCTTACCCAGAATATAAAAATACATGTAAATACATTTAGATCATTTACTTTAATCATTACTATTGTAATGTGAAGAGACTTTAAACCAGCACAACAACATATGTTTCTGAAGACAATCACCTACTACACTTTTACTGTAAGTATGCACAGTAAATACATAGTCAGAAGAATAGTTAGATTACCACTCCGGTAGATTACCTGTAACGATGATGTTACACTGACAACAGGGGTGCGGATCCAAATGCAGGCTTGTTAGAAAGGTCAGGTAAGCAATAGTCAACACAGGGGCAAACAGATGTCTGCAGGCAGAGTTGTAGTCGGATACACAGGCAGGTGGTCAGAAGGCAGGCAGCAGACAGGGATAAACAGATAAACAAGGCTAGGATCAAAACACTGCAAAGCAAGACAAATCAGCTGTGTGTTTGCAAACAGTCAGGATTACCCCTCTAAAGTTTAGTCACCTAACAGCTTTATGAATAGAAACATGATACATTCAAATTCATTATTGCAAAATACAAATTTACTAACTATAAAACTTAAAACAAGCAATAATTATATATTTCAAAAAGTGACTAGATATTTAAATATTATATATTTCAGTTTATTATGTTTTTTCCCGAAGGTAATAATACTTAAGGTGTACTAATTTTGAGACTGTGATCTTAAGTTTTTTTGTTGACCAATTCCAGTTTTGGCTACTGACTGATGCACATAATTGAGAAAATGTCTTAACACTGATTCCCAGACAGACCCATTGAGGACTGAGGAGGACATCGGTGAATCTCCGTAATGAAATGTTAGAAACAAGCTGGTTGTGTAAACTCTTTTAATAGGGCTTTACTTTTGTGCGTTCATCCACAGATCAATTCCCAAACAGTTTTTTTATAATAATTGTGGCAGAAGATGAATGGATGGAGGCACCCATTATCCAACAATTTCCCAACTCTACGCTGAGCAATTCTTCAACTCATCAACATCAGCACAATAATTCATTTTCCATCTCACGTGATGCTGTTGACTTCCTCAAGGGCTTAACTTCCACCCGCTTCATGCCGTCCTTCTACATCATCATCATCCTCATCAGTTTGCCCCTGAACGCTTTGGCTTTGGTGACGTTCACCTGCAGGATCAGAGAAAAGAAACCAGCTGTGATCTACATGTCTCACCTGGCGTGTGTGGATCTGCTCTTCGCCCTGCTGCTGCCTCTGAAGATCCACTACCAGCTGAATGCTGATTGGCTGTTTGGTGAGGCGGCGTGTCGTGTGCTCACTGCAGCTTATTACTGCTACATGTACTGCTCCATACTGCTGATGATGTGCATGAGTGTGGACAGACTGCTGGGTGTTGCGCTTCCTATTGCTTCGTTAACCTGGAGGAGCACAAGGAAAGCCTCATGCGTGTGTGTGCTGGTCTGGCTGCTGGCGCTCGCTGGTACTGTGCCACTGCTCTCAATGAGACAAACATTTCCCATTAAAAATGTTGGCATGACCTGCCATGATGCCCTGCTGCAAGACCCATCTGGACATCGTTACAAGTACCTGTTCTTCATCCTCTCCTGCCTGTATTTCTTTGTGCCGCTGGTCATCACTTTATTGAGCTACTCCATCATCATATATGTGCTCAGTGTAAAGCCTGCCCAGATGGCATCTTTGTTCAAATTAAGAAGAGCTGTGATTAGGTTTATTTCTGTGCTGACTGAGTTTGTTGTGTGTTTTGGTCCAACCAACGGCATCTTGTTGTATCACTGTATTCGTTTAGCTACTGGAAAAGACAGTGAAGGAGATTCATCATATGCTGCTTACCTGTTGGCTGTGTGTTTGGGGAGCTCAAGTGTTTTTCTGGACCCTCTTCTGTACTATTATGGTTCATCTCATTACAGACAGATAATCCAGTCTGTGCTGAGAAGGACAAAAGCAGAAGAAACAACACCAGCATATGAAACAGTGCTTCTGAAATGAGTCGTCAGCTATGAGCTGCGAAATTAATCCTTCACTTTGTTTCTGCACTTTGTTGTTTATGAGTATTTACTAGAGCACACACACACTTTTCAGCACTGATAAATACTGTATGCTTCTGATTGACTGATGTATTCACACACTTAACAGAAATGTGTGTGTGATTGGATATTATTTACCTAATAGCTAGCGTTTATTTGGTAATATCAGTGTCATTTGGGTGGCACGGTGGCTCAGTGGTTAGCACTGTTGCCTCACAGCAAGAAGGTTGCTTGTTTCGAGTTGGCATTTCTGTGTGGAGTTTGTTCTCCCGGTGTTGGTGTGGGTTTCCTCCTGGTGCTCCAGTTTCCCCCACAGTTCAAAGACATGCGCTGTAGTGAATGAGATGAACTAAATAAAGTTTCGATCACGGATCACGTGCTTATGATTTTACACGACTGGTCCCATATTAGCTAACATGTTGCCTCACAGCAAGATTGTCACAGGTTAAAGTCCCTATTGAACCAGTCGATGATTCTGTGTGAAGTTTGCATGTTCTCCTTGGGCTTGTGTGGGTTTCTCCTGGGTTCCACGGTTTCCTCCCACAGTCCAAAAACATGCGACCTAAGTAAATTAAACATTCTAAATTGGCATCATAGTCGAACTCTTAGTAAGCCTGTTATTAGCCAGAAATAAGTTGGGGGAGTTAATCAAGATCTAACTGAGCTGAAACTCTCTTCTCGCCCTGCTAACAGGAGGAAACCAAAGGCCTGAGGATCTGATGAGCTCAGGGCTGTTAAGTTCAGTTAAGTGTGAACTCTTAAAATTGACCCTAGTGTATGAGTGTGTGTGTTTGTGAATGTAAGAGTGTTTGGGTGTCTCCCAGTATCAGGTTGCGGTTGGAAGGGCATCCGTGTAAAACAAATGCCAGAATAGTTGGCGATTCATTCATTGTGGCAACCCCTGATAAATAAAGGACAAAGCCGAAGGAAAAAGAATGAATGAGTGAATGTATACGTTGCTGTTACAATTCTAACGCTTGTACAGTTTATCTGACTAAAAGCAGAAGAAACATATGCAGATTGTCAAGTCATAGATGTCTTGTGCAATATTTAAACTTTACTTCTATGTTTAATACATATCTTAAAGGGCCATGAAACCCCCTCGTTTCAGCAGGGTGTTTTCACACCTCTACTTTGGAAAAAGTCAGAAAAGTGGGCGTGTCCAGCTTTGTTTAGGGGGGAGTGTCGGAGGAAGAAAAGTGGGATGGTGTGGGAGTGTCTATTTGGGCATGCGCGAGCTTCAGAGTCAAAATACACACACACACACACACACACACACACACACACACACACACACACACACACACACACACACACACACAGTAGAAAGTGATGGTGTTTAACCTACATGGACTTCTGTAGTTGAATTATTTGCCAAATTATTAAATGGTGGATTTTAACTGCAGTTTGGCTCTTTCATTCAGGGAATTCATTCATGCCCCTCGCGACAAACGAGATATTTGATTCGAGGAACTGCTCTAAGCGTGTATTTTTCATGCAATGTTTGATACCGCACGGCGAATGAGAGAAAAAAACCTCCGCATTTCCCAGAAACTTAGACACGGCAGGTAGCGTCAGAAAGCCGCGTGTGTTATTCCGGTCACTAAATGCGGTGAAAACCCTACACGAGGTTAAAGTTTGGTTGTGGTGCTAACATGTTTACACTCGGTGCAATGGTTAACTTAGTTCGATACGAACAAACTGAATAAACAAAGAGCACTGGTCGCTCACTTACCAAATCTGTAGAGACAGGACAATCACCAGCAACTAGAGCCGCGTCTTTATTAAGAGGAGACTACAAGCGAATCTGGATCTCAGCGTTTGCAGATGAGAACGAGAACAGCTCTCAGGTAAACAATGTTCCTCCTTAGACACGTAAGTTATTGTTGTCGAGCGTCGCGTACACTGTAATCCACACGTGAGACTGAGCTCTCACAGAGAGAAAATGAAAATGAAACTTAACTGCAGCAAACTATAAAAGCAAAACTTCACGCTTGTTTTGCCAATACAACGTGGCGTCTCTGCCGTCTAAACACTGTGACAGGAATGAATATTAATGAAGTTGCACAATAGAGCGCGCTGATTGGTTTGAACCAAGCCTTACTCATGCATTAATGCAGCACACTCTGAGACGTAATAAGACTCACTCTGTCACAGACGCCCAGTCTGCACGCTGGAATACAACGCTATTATGTCATGGCCGTGACGCAGCTTCAAAAATTCGTTTCAAACCGGAAGTACGAATTTGCTTGAAATAACGCAAAAACAACCAATTTACACTTTTTAGTGAAATATAGGTGTCTTAATAGTGTTTTTAGCAGTGTGGGACACATATACGACTGTCAACAGCTCAAAAAATGTGTTTTGGTGTTTCGTGACCCTTTAAACATCTTGCAAGGGTTTCTTTCACCTTTTTCATTTTATTATTATTGTTTACACTCTCTCTGGGCCTTTGAGGCTTCTATGATGCATTATGAGGACTTTATATGTAAATGAATACTGACTAAGCATTAATAAAACTGATGATCAATAACTGATGATTACCTAAGAAACAAGGTCTAAGAAAGGTCAAGATATGAATCAGCAGTGAATAGTATTAGAAGAAAAAGAAAGTGGAAATGTTTTGTAAATATATGTATGTCATCAAATGTTAAGCTGTAAGTACTGAATTAATTAAAATGCTTGCTATGTAAAGCCTATTATTGTTGATGAATTTAGAGCCATTTCTCAGTCTGATGGACAGAAGCAGTGATACATTTATCTGTTGGAATACTTTGTTCACACTAGATATTTACTCTCAAAACACATTTAGACAAAAATAATGTCATTGCATGCCATTTTTAAAACAAAATTGTGTGATAAGTGTGATACAGAAACCATGAAGGGGCTTTGAAATATTGTGCAAAACCTCACATAAAAAAGTAACTTCCCATATGCTCATTTTACAAATATATTCAGTGTGCGTTAATGTTGCAAAAGCAGGTTTTAATTCTGATGCACTGTTGATAAGAAAGACTGTAAGATCACTCGAGAAAGAGGAAACACACCCAAAGTAAACAGCATGTTTTCTGTCATCTAATTCTTAATTGTGAAACATTTTCTCAAGCGCCTCCTTTCAGTGATTAGATAAGTGCCTGTATCAGATCCTGCAGCATCACCACACAGATTATCTGCTCATCCAGAGATCCTTCTAACATCAAGAATTAGTATCTCTCATCGGATCAGCAATCATGGGGGTCAAAATGCTCTTATTTTCCATCTTAGTGGTGTATATATATGGTAAGTACATCAGTGAGTAATATTTTGTGGTTTTCTGATCTGCTTGAATTCACATTAAGTGACTTTGTGTTGTTATTATATGACATCTTATTCATCTGATAATGTTATATAATGTAATGTTTGATTGCAGATGGCTTTATCGGTGTTATGCCAGAGAACTATGAGATGATGGATGAGTTGCATGATGATGATGATTTTGAAGACTATGATGATGATTATTCAAGTGAATCCAGTTTTTTCCTAATGAACAAGTCCAGAGCAACATATCCAGGTAACAGTTTATTTACATCCAGAAGCAATTAGTTTCATCTGAGATTTTCACATGATGTGGGATCATCACTACAACTAATATTCAAATATTAAAAATTATAGAAGTGAACATATGCATGATGTACAGCTATGAAAAAAATTAAAAGGCCACTTAGAGATTCTCAGTTTATCTAGATAAACTACTTACATTTATATGCAGGTTGGTCACACTTTATTTTGATGGTCTGTGTGTTGAATTTAAGTTACATTGCAACTTATTCTAATTAGATTATAAGTAGACTGTTAAGTTGGAGTTAATGTAAGTTGACATGTAATTGCAAAGTTTCTTACAGTCAGTTAAATGTCTGTTGAAGGAGCAGTATCAGCAGATATTAAGCAGGCAGTCTACTAAAACTCATGTGGACCATCAAAATAAAGTGTTACCTGCGTGTTTAAAACAATCTTTTGGTTGTTTGGTCGCTATCTTAAGCTAAAACTAACTTGTGGATTTAGTGGCTTAGTCATATGCATTTGTAGGATCTCATTCATACATTTTAGTACGATTTGCACATCTAAAAGTGACTGTTAAGTTTAAGGGTGGGGTTTGGTGCCACGCCTCTTTTTTATATTTGTACATTTTTATATGACTGAACTTACGAACAACATCAGCTCATTCTGAAAATGTAGCCGTCTACATTCCTGCAGATTGAGAGTTGTGTAGCCAGAGCTACGTATGGCTGCATTGTGTCTTTGAAACTAACTCTATGAGATAGTATGACGCTGATCCTTTTCACGCTAACACCCGCTGACCGCCTACTTCTGTGTGGACGGCTTTTCCACTTTATCAGTTTGCCCAGTTGCTTAACGCGTACATCGGCAGACTCGTGAAGCAGAGTTAACTGCGATAACGGGATTCGAGTCTGGGCTAGAACGGTTCCAGAAAGCAGATTAAACAAAAGTTACAAAATAAAACAAACAAGTAAATAACAGAAAGAGAATGTTGTAAGATCTGACAAAGTGGTAACAACCAGGCAAGGGCTTTCCTTTTTCTGGATTGCTATTGAAAACACTGTCGGTTGGGTTTAAGGAAGTGCGTGGGCAGGTCAATCAGGGCTTTTGAAAACTCTGTCGGTTGGGTTTATGGAAGTGGGTGGGCGGTTCAATTGGGGCTTTTAAATACACTCAGTCATTCAGTCAGACGACAGCGGCCTTTGGTGGATTTACGCTAGAAGAGCAGGCACAAATGGCATTCACAAGAGAATTTTGAGATCTCAAAAAGTATACACAGCAGCCTCTGGTAGATTCCAAAAATAAAAACTGCAAAAAAAAAAAAAAAAAAAAAACACGTAGCTCCTGGGATGTATTTGGCGCTCTTGAGAAATGTATATAGAGGTACACTTTAAGAATGAACCTGGGTGGCTAACAAATTAGACACTAAACTGACAAAATGAAACTTAACACTTGGTTACTTTTTCTGTGTTATGTCAGAGAACTATAAGACAATGGACAAGTTGAATGGTGACTATTCTGGAGACTTTGAAGATTATTCCAGAAACAATTCCAGACGTTTTCCCTACGACATTACAATGCCAAGACCTCCAGGTAAAAAAAAAATCTTTACATAAAGAAGCAGTTTTCACATGATTTGGGATCTTTACTACACTATAATAATAATCCAATAGGGTGTATCCACACAGACTTTCAATTTTCAGTCAGTCAGCCCACACTTTTCTGGTCTTTCCAATACAAAATCACCACTTTTACAACCTGATTTCTTTGAATATCAGCAATCTTTGCCACCTGGTTGATATGCTATATAAAGTGTGTCTTAGACTGGACAAGAAGCACTCTATTAAACTCTTTTTTCCCCCAGCATGTCCTTCAAATATGAAGTTTTATTTTACCACAGTATTTTGAATAGAGTTTCTATGCTAGCCTGCGGCTAATGACGTTGCTGGCGTTTACATGGATGTTCATCTTGTTTTACTTTCCAACAACTAAATGAATGCTTAAGTTTATTGAACTGAATGTATTGTAATTACATTGAAACATGGATACTGTAAGGGTGCTTTCACACTGGCACTTTTGGTCGGCACCTGGCTTCGTTTGACGTCATAGTATGGTACGTTTAGCTAGTGTGAACGTGTCTTCTGAACTCAGGTGAAAGAGGTGGTCTAGGGTATGGTTCATGCAAACTCGGAAGTAAACCGCCAACTTTACAACAAACTATCTTTTGCATAACGTTCATGTGTGTGTGTGTGTGTCACGTTTCGTACCTTGGTGATGGGCAGGACTGAGCCACGGCAAACACAGTAATACACAGT